GCCTGTAAGAAACTCTAAATGCGAATTTTGTCGACTATATTTTTACTTTCTCGTAAATACGTAGTATAGAGAAAGTCTTGTAATCGTGGAAAAAAAAATCGAGATTTTTACAAATCTCGACGTTTTACACCTCACTGATACGGAAAAACATAATTTTGCAATCTTGTCCGTATGTCTGTGTGTTTGTGTGTGTGTGTGTGTGTGTGTGTGTGTAATCACGATAACTTGAGTACCGTTATAGCTAGGTTGATGAAATTTCATATATAAGTATTTTATCAAAATCGTAGATCCGTATCAACTTTTGAGCGATTTCCGATAACCGGAAGTGGTATTTTTTCTACTTTGAATTTTTCAAAAGCATATAACTTGAGTACTATTTCAGATAGATAAATGAAATTTCACCTGTAAGTAAAAGATCTAATTCTCTACCTTTTGTTAAATTTTGAGTAATTTCCGTTGACGGGAAGTACTATTTTACGCTATTTCCGATTTCTCAAAAACGCATCTAAATTTATAAAGTACTAATAACATTATGAACATCTTTATTCGGCGTTTGCTTGGTGCGCAATACTTTTTTTTCTATGAGATTCTATTCTATTTCACCATCAAATTTCCAGACCCATCTGCCCGACCCACGTTTTTTGTCAGTCATCACAAGAACCTGCACAGCTCGAGGAAGCACAAAAGAAAAATGTATTTTCTACTTTTTAGTCCACAAGAAAAACGTGGTTTTTTAAAAAGTTTTTTATATAGTTTATTTTCTACTTTATCTAATGACTTGATTAAGTATGACTTGACTAAGTGTTTATAAATACACGGACTAAAAATCTTGAGCGACCGATACGCTTTAAACAGAGAAAGGGCGTAATTTAATTAAGCCAACATGCCGTGACCAGGATTCGAACCTGGGTTGTCGCGGCCACAACGCAAAGTACTAACCACTATACGATCACGGCCAGCGCGCTCACATCGATTGGGGCCGAAGTAACTGTGTCAATAGGCCTCCAGTCTTGTCGGTATGTTTAGAAATCATGTCCTCGATTTTATGGTCCTTGGGGCGTAATTTAATTAAGCTAATTACGGTCTCTAATTGCTAGTTTTTATGATTGCATCTGAAATTGTTAGGCGAAAATAGCCTGCATTCCAAATTTCAGATCTCTATAGCAATCAGAAGTCGGCTAATTTTCGATGTCAATTTTAACAACAAACACACAAACGCTTAGCTAAGTTAAGAAAAACGTGTTAACAAGCTGTAAACGCGCTCCCTACCTCCCCACCCCTACATGGTTTTAGTGAGCTGTGTTCACTCTAAATGTTTACAAGCAGAGCCAACGATTTTAAACGTAGGGGGGGGGAGGGGGGGAAGGAAGGGGGGGGGGGGGTTACGGTCCTAAACGAGCTACTTATAGTGTTTTAAAGAAATATTTTCAGTGTCAGCGTTGGTACTGTCGAATTCACAAATTATGAATTACTGAAAATTAGAAACAACTAAACAGCGGCGTATGTTATGCCGCGGGCCGGCTCGTTCTTATATAAAACAACAGGGGATGGGAACTCGGGATATAGTTATGATTTTTAATCCATTTTAAATACTTAAACTTCTTAAAATAGAATAGAATCTCATAGAGAACAGAATTGCGCACCAAGCGAACGCCAAAACAAAATGTGCATAATAGTGGGGAATATTATTAGTGCTTTATAAATTTACAAGCTTTTTTGAGAAATCGGAAATAGCGTAAATTAGTACTTCCGGTCAACGGAAAATACTCACAATTTGAGAGAAGGTGGAGAATTAGATCTTTTACTTACGTGTGAAATTTCATTTATCTATCTGAAATAGTACTCAAGTTATAGGCTTTTGAAAAATTCAAAGTGAAAAAAGTACCACTTCCGTTTATCGGATATCGCTCAAAAGTTGATACGGATCTACGATTTTGATAAAATACTTATGTATGAAATTTCATCAACCTAGCTGTAACGGTACTCAAGTTATCGTGTTTACACACACACACACACACACATACAGACACACACACAGACATACGGACAAGATTGCAAAATTATGTTTTTCCGTAATAGTGAGGTGTAAAACGTCGAGTCTCGATTTTTTTTTTTGCACGATTACATTATACAAGACTCTATACTTCGTATATACGAGAAAGTAAAAATGGTCGCCATATGAAAAAGTTTGTTTCGGGCATTTAGATAACCCTTTTTAAAATGAAAATCGCCACGGCAACCAGGGCCACTACTCATAATAATATAATATTAATATAATTGTATACTCTATTAGTGTATACTGTATATTATAGGTATAGATCTTGATAACGATCTAGATCTATATAACTATATGCTGTACACTATAGATTTAGATCTTAGATCCAATTTTTCAAAATAACTAGATCTGGATCTAGATTCTATTATTATTTCTATCAGCCGCATGTGTATAGTAAATAGTAAATACAAATAGTTATCTAATAATAATAGTTAGTATAGTAGTATACTGTATAGTATAATTCAATATTAAAAATAGGTAGATCTAGATCTAATCTATCATTTAGTTTAGGTACGTAAAATCGCCCGCGACTAGTAATTTGAAAAACAGGTGACTCCTTAAATTTTAATAATTATTTCATATTTTGATGAGAATTCATGTTTTGAAAAATACAAAAATGTGTCCTTGTTTCATTTATGTACCTGTTTTTAAGTTACAATTAAATTAAAACTTTTTAGTAATAAATGAAGACTAGCGATGTTTTCATCAGATGCAAATTACAATCATGCTCATTTACTATAGATCTAGATCTAGTAGCCGTCTTGTTTGTTTTATTTTGTTAAACTTATAGCGGGTGATTCAGGGGAAACCACTCTATTTTACAAATGGCTGTTGTTTATTATATAGCAAATCTTGCTCGCAAACACTGTTGTTTAAAGTTAATTTCTGGCCTACCTTTGAAATATTTAGCCATTGATTTTGGTTTATTATTCAGTTATCTAGAATATTTTAAACAAATATTTCACAATATACTTCTAGTAAAGCCTTGATATATATATATATATATATATATATATATATATATATATATATATATATATATATATATATATATATATATATACGCAAATATGATACATGGAATACTCATTTCGGGCTTGTTCAAGCTTTAAAAAGTAATGAAAAATACTTAGTTTTTATTATAAAGTAAAAACAAGTTACACCACGTCATTTGTGTGACTGCTATTAGTCTGTTTTGAAAATCTCTGTTTTAACATGTTTGCTATAATGAGGCATTTTGACTTCCGCTGTTTCGATTCGGTAGGACCACATCTGGACTTTTTCATCATACTTGTTGAAATTCGCCATTTTTTAACATGTTAATTCTCGCCATCGGAATCGAAGAATAAAATGTATTCAATATGAATATATTTGAGTTGAATTTCATCTTTTATACATACTAATAAATTAATTAGCTCCCGTTTTACATTGTCCAATACCAAAAGCTATCAATGATAATAGCGAATATTTGTCGAAATGCCGACGCTGCCGAACTGGCGCATTGACAACTAAATTTCAGATATAAATAATCATCTAAATTGCATGAAAATAGGCTTAAATAGCATGTCAACCATTTGGATAAATAGAAATGTCGATTTTAAGGGTTTTTACGCATGGGGCAATCAGGAGTAGCGCGATAAAACTCGTACCGTAGGAACGAGAAAGCGTGCGTAATTTCATAATGGCGGCCGAGTTACGAGATATTAATAGATATGCGCATACGATGTTTTTTAATAGCTGTTAGTTTTTAAATGGACTGTTACAATAAAATAGGCTTTAAAATAAATATACTGTAGATCTATATCTAAATTATTTAATTAAAAATGGAAAGAATGTAGGCCTAATTAATTGCTGCCTAAATTATAAAATTTTAAATTTGCCAGATTTTTATTAACCTTCTTAATACCAGGTCTAAATCTAAAAAGCATGTTTTTATTGCATGTCAACAACATTATGGAAGGAGTCTCATCTACTGGCTGGTGTCCATTAATGTCTTTTTAAGAATTTATCAAAGGATACGTCAACTTCAGTTAACATTTTATAAATAAGAATACTGTGAAATGTCAATCTTTGAGTTTTAGCACATCTCAACACTTTTCATCAGAAACATTACAAGAACCACAATTTTCTAAATTAATAATAACATTTTTATCATGTTATACACAGACACAAATCCAATGTTTATGGCAAATCGTTTAGTATCTTGATCATATTGTGCTGTATTTGTAAGTTCTAACTCTATACATTACCTGTACAATATGTATACTAGCATTCTTATTACTAACACCAGAATCAATATGTAAAGTTTAACAATATATTAGCCTGTAGTTAATCATCATTCATAGTCTAATTGCGCTGTACTATATTCAAGTTCACTATTTATAGTTTTCCTCTAGCTATGTTTATTTTACTTGCATGTTTGTATTTTTTACATTCTCTAGTCCTAATATTTAAAGTTTCATGATGGTATATGGAATAGCAACCTAGCTGTGCAGTCTGGAAATAGAGAACAATTTTATAAATTTTATTGGAGTGCCAGCTACTGGAGCTAGACAGTTTTTATAAATATAATGCTGTGTATAATACCACGGGTCGTAGACATTACCCACCTGTTATAACCCCTCCCTCCCATCCCGCATAGTAGCCATTTCCCCAGCTTCTTTAATTACTTGTCTATATCCTTCAGAAACAGCTTCCAATAAACAGGGCTGAATATTTGTTTGCTGAAAGGCCCCGATTTCTCCGAAAACGTGCATCTGCCAAGTTCATTAAACGTATTGAGATCGTGTTATAACTATACTGAGTCTATTATTAAGAATAAAAGTATATCTAATTTTTAGAGTAGGGCCTATGACATCCCCCCACCCCACTTCGCTTCTTTATGTTAATTATGTCCCATTTTAAACCTAAATAATTAGCCTATGACTTTTTTATCTGCCTGTTTTTATAGTTAGTTGATTATGTGTGATCCACGAGCACATTCTGGTGGGCCTAAAGATTTATTCATGTCAGTCGGAAACTGAAAAATATGTTGATACACTTAAAACAAAATATTGGTCAAGGAAAAATTGGAGATACATTTGGTTAAATTATATTTTTTAATTAATTATTATTTTCGTAATTAATACCTAAACTGGCTTGAAAGCAAAATTGTAATGCCTTAGACATTACATTATTTCATTAAAACGTGTTTGGAATTTAATTAAAGAAATGATAAGTAATTATAAAAATGTAAATTTTAGAGAAGTTATAAATTATGAAATCCTGTGCTCGAAAACTCAAAATCAGCAGAATCTATATTTAATTTTGCAATCAGCTGAGACCTAGGATGCGCTTACTACTTTTAACGCATGCGCACTCATCTGAAAATTCAGAACATGTCCAATGTTTTCGCTCAGCGAGCGAAGACAAAAACTTGACCCAGAACATAAAAAGGGGCGTGGTTTTGTGCCCCTGTGACTCAGAAGAAGTTCCATATATACTTAACATGTTTAGTATACACTTTAGTAGGTCTAGTCTAGTATACATGTCATAAGTGTAAACGTGGCGTAACTAATATTTCTTCAGAGGCGTAGCGACACTTCCCGGGGACAAACTTCGGATTTGCACCCCCCTTAAGCTTTCAATTTATTTTTCCAACCCATTTTGATGCCCCCTAAGTTTGGCGCCCGGGGACATTTGTGTGTGTGTGTGTCCCCGCACCCCCACGCTATGCCTCTGTATTTCTTATATTAATAAGATTTGGATCCAGCAGTCTACTTGGTGAATTTAATCAACCACTGTTCAATTAATAATTTCCACCTTTGGCTTATAATGTTTAAGACAGCTTATATACATCTTTATTTTACATTTTAAATAGATCTAGACCTAATGACCTAATAATATAATACAAATATAGCGGAATACGAAAGTGGAGAAAGGTAGTGTCGATATAGCTAATACTTGGGCCTACGGGGTCTGTTTTGTTAGTCGGGTTTTACAGCTTGTGAACGTCTGAAGAAGAAAGTAAAAACATTTGTGAAAATATCATTAAAAATTTATCGACTCACACTAAATTCAAATTTTAAGTCTGAATGTTTTCTTATTTTAATTGATCTAAATACCAACGGATATAGCGACAAAACATTAGCGATACCGCTTTTCTCGATTTTTAGATTTAAGCCTCTACTATAATGCATTACAAAAAAGATAATTTTCGTTGTTAAAAAATTAAACTGAAAATCCTATAGTCTTACTCAAATCAAACCTAGTGTCATTATTTTTAGTTTTAAATCATTCTATGTATAACTTAATTATCCTAAGTCTATTTCAATCATTAGTAGCACGCAGGACAGGCTCAACACATACAACTTTTACTATTTTAAAAAGGTTAATTTATTATCTTTGAATCTACTCATTTACTAGTTTAATTATTAATATTCTTTAAGAAAACAATGTATAAAAATTGGTGACATAATTCCTATAAAACGAAGGAACATGAAAATGCGGTATCGATACCGCTAATAGGGTACCTAGCTTATGAGATATTTTGCATAGTCTGCTAAAAAGATAAACCTAATATAAATATGCTAGTTAGAAAGCTTAATAAAAAATAAAGATAATCCTACTAAAAACAGAGTTAATCTCAATGTTTTACTATTTTAAGTAAATTTTTGAAAACTCACCTTTTAAACTCAATTTGAGATTAACAAAAACAAGTAAAAAGTTGAAATAAAAAGTATACGGCGGTAACGGTCAATAACCGCTGCTAATAAGGAGGGCATATATAATTGGAATTATAATCGCGTTCTATTGTTTTTTAAACAGTTAACATACCAATGCGAACGACTACATTTGAATTAGAATTTTTTGTTCACGAAAGGTTTAGAGCCTGTGACGTCATATTTTATTTACTTGTGCAACTAGCTAATATTATCTGTTGAACACCTTTTGTATAATTTTAAGAAACGACCCACATTTTTTTATATTATGCATTTTTTTTCAGTCCTATCTGTTGGGGGTTGAACATAAGGCCAGCAATCTTATTATGAAATATTTTGTAAAAAAAAATGCATAAAAAATGTTTTAATAACAAGCTGTTATGTAATAATGCACCAAAACGGAGAAAATAAATGGCTTTCTTTATATAGTAGGTCACCCTCCTTTTTAAATTAATTCATAAAAAAATATTTTTACATCCAATTAAGTCAAATTTGATGACAGATTGCATTGTCATTGGGTCTTGACCCACTTACCAAGTTTATGATCAGTCATTTAGAAGTGCTTGACATTTAGCTCGACAAACAAAGGAAGCAAGTTAAATAAAAGCTTGTGATAAAAGAAACCAAAGCAGTAAGCTACTTGTGCCCTTGGCACAGATGCGAAAAGTTGATAAAAGGTCTTTCTTAAAAACCAAACATGCTAGGGAAAATTTTGATTAGCTTATACTACACATTATTTTGATAATGTTATATGTGTTGCAGGAAACAAATTATCATCTAAATGGGGGAACCAAGATTTTCTTTAGAAAGAAAGAACTTTGTTTTAAATCTCGCAAAATCAATTACAGAAAAGCAGGATGCTAAAGTTCCAGGTCTTCTCCTAAGGTTAAAATGTAAGTTCTAAAGTTTATGTTAACCTATTTGTTCTATATTTAAAATTTATTATCTTATTTGAGTTCAGCCTCATTAAGCTTGCCCCCCCCCCCCCCCCCAAACAAATATAAATGAGTATATACAAGTCAAGACATGTGTGGTTGTGTGTATATTATATATATATATATATATATATATATATATATATATATATATATATATATATATATATATATATAGACAGACACAGACAGATAGATTAATAAATATATGTTTATATAATTCTAATGTTTATTTATAATATACATACATATAATCTTTTTTAAATGTATCAACTATGGAACAGAACAATACTAAACACAAACACAAAAGTAAACAATAACACAACGCAAACACTAAAACCAAAGAAATCACAAACCAAACACACAAACACAAATAACACAATAATGCCCTCTTGGACGTCCGCTGAATTTGCATTCATGTTTTTTTTAATTAGTGTGATTTGAAATTTTTGTTGTTGAAATTACTTCCCTTGGCATAGGCCTAATTTTTAAACATTTTAAGTAATTACTTTTTTTACCCTTCTGTTTTTAAAATATATCCATTTTTCTAGGAATCTACTCGATAATATTTATTTGACATTGATCCGTTTAATATGTTTTAGCAATGTGCGTGTATTTAATATTTTCTTCACGTTATTCGAAAGTAAAATCTGTGGTGACTATAAAACAAATTTAAGACGTTATATAAACAAACCCTACTTTATACCTTATAACAAAGTAATGCGATGCAATTTAAAAGCACTGCTTTGTTTGATGTTTACTTTTATGATATAGATTTTGTAAAAATAATATTATCACCATTGTAAGCAAATGTGATGTGAGTGTGCATTTGTGATATTTCCACTAATCTTGGTATTAGCAATTAGAGTTCTTTTCAAAATGCTGTTGAACGTTGTGAGCACAAAATACCAGTATAAGAGGGGAATATAATATAAATACACACACAAGTATATTTTTATATACCTATCCATACATATATATATATATAAATAAATATATTTTTACAAATATATATATATATATATATATATATATATATATATATATATATATATATATATATATATATATATATATATATATATATATATATATATATATATATATATATATATAAGGCTGGTGGTAGGGTGTCAGTCTTTCATTCCGTCCTTCAATTTTTAAATAAGACAAAAAATTATTGAAGTTAAATGTATTGAAAATGTTGTAAGTAACAGAGTGATTTTTATTGTGTAAGGATTTGATTATCTGTACTATTATAGAACTGTATGCCTTTAAATTATGATATCATCTCTGTTAATAGCTGTTCTTGATGAACATGTTACAATGAAAGGACTGGCAGTAAGGAGAGAAATTTTGGAATATAATTTGCTGAAGGTGTTAATTCTTATACTAAGACAAGACTACAGTGTCATTGATGGACAGTGGGAAACAGCTGCTGAGTTGGCAGTTATTTTAAGGTTTGTCATTTACTTTTAAATAAAAAGATGTGGTTTGTTAACCTTTTTGGATATACTGAACCCCACCAGGCATGGGGAGGGGGGGGTTAAGGACCCTCCTGTAAAAAACTTGTTACTGTCATAATACCACTGTTACTGATTTAAACTATTTCTGAATCAGTATATATGTATAATTATAAATGTATGTTTAGAAAGGTCATCTAAAAACTGACGCTATGTTCAATCCCCCACCTCACTCCTAAAACGGGACTGGCCATATTTGTGTAGAGCAACATTAATGGGTAGGATAATTGACCTAAAGTGACCGGACAGTGGTGAATAAAGTTAACCCCCCCTCCCCCAACCCAACCCAAACTGATCTGTTAAGTACATTTGGAAAAATGCGTAATGAGGTACCTAAGTACTGTGCCGCCAGAATCATAGCTTTTGAAACAGGTAAAACTATTGTTTTTGCAATTACCAGTAAAGAGGTGTGTGATCAATACAGTGATCTAAACCATACCTTATCATGGAAAAAAACTTTTTCATAAAAAAACGTTTTAATAACAAGCTTTTATGTAATAATGCACTAAAAAGTAGAAAATAAATTATACACTACTATTTAAATTACAATAAAGAAAAGCGTGGGCCACTTTAGTATCTATTGGATACCTTTACTAATATTTAGGAAGAGACCCACGCTTTTCTTTACACTAATTTAAATAGTAGTGTATAATTTATTTTCTACTTTTTAGTGCATTATTACATAAAAGCTTGTTATTAAAACTTGTTATTAAAACTTTTTTTATGAAATATTTTTTATGACTCAAAATCATTGCGGGCCTATTGAACGTGATGACGCGCTATTGAACGTGATGACGCACATGGAGTAGTTGGATAGAACTGCCAACTAATTTGGTCAAAATTTGAATTAATTCATAAAAAATTTACTATGCAACCAATTAAGTCAAATTTAATGTCATGTTGCATTGTCTTCATGCCTTGACCCACTTTACAACTATGAACCGTATCTGTCTGTTATAAGTGCCAGTACTTTCGCTCGGTTGTTTCGATCTAGACGGACGACTGAAAGACAACAGAGGAAGTGAGTTTAATAAAAGCTTGTAAAAATGATCTTAAAAGAACACAAAAAGCAGTAGCTAATTAAAATATGAATGATCTGAACTGCAAGACCAATATTTTATAAATTACTGAAAAGTAGAAAATAAAACAACTTAATAGCGGCGCAGCATATGCTATGCCGCGGGTCGGCTTGTAATGAATATTTACTGCAATTCAGTTACTTCTGCTGTGGCCTTTCAGAAGGTCAACTTCACCTTGAATTCAGTGAGCGTTGTGCTCCATTATATCTCCATGCAGTTTAAGAAATTGTCCTCTTAGTTTTGCGGTTGCTAGAATTTCTCAACTTGCGTTGCAAATAATGCAGTAAGGAATCTGACTCCCATCAAGTTCAGTTATACATGTGAATCCATACTGTACCCCAACCCATGCCTTTATAGGTGCTGTTGACACGATGTGTAATGCATTTATCATAACATCAAGTATTCTATGATACAGCACTTTCACTATACTGATCTGTGTTATTTTGCTCTGTCACACTTTATTACAATGTCCTGATGTCGCGCTTTTGCTGTCGTATAATTTGAGTTGCCATCGGCCGCAGCCACTAGTTCTCTCGTCCACATTGATACAATCCATTTCCAAATCACATGAGTCCGTTGTGTGTCTTGACCTCTGTTGAACCCCTAAGAATGACTCCTCGAACCCAGGTTAAGAACCACTGCTTTAGAAGGTTGTATCATTGTCATATACATATTTTTTAACTTATTTTTTCATGATACATTTCACGAAATATACACTTTTGAGGTCATTTAGCATTATTTTCAGTTAAATCCATACATTGAAATTTCTAGACATTTATTTTATCTAGTATCTTAGTTCATTGATCCCTCAAGTCTTTTGATTATTTTAACTTTTACTACTCAACTGTTGTAAAACCAGAATAGAGAGTGCACCATATGCTGCTACTAAAATTGGATTCTAAAGTCTACATGCACATATAAAAGTCACTCGAATTTTAGTGTTGCTGTCTTGATTAGACAAAGGATAATGTTTTAAAATTGTATCATAAATATATACATATTTTAAAGTATTGGTTATTTAGTTATATTTTAAAGAAAGGTGTAATCGTCATGTCAATCTCTAAATGAATTTTTTTAAAAAATTCCAAACAAAATCTCATGCAGCAATGTTATTTGTGGACTAAGTGTTGATGAAAGTTGTCGAAAGAAACTTGAAAAAGAAGATTTACCAAAAAGTATTGAGAGTATATTGTTACTCGCTCGACATGTTTATATTATTCTTGAGGCCTCATCACGCAAGCAGGTTAGTACTTTGCATCTATTTTTTATGCTACAAATACAAATGCTTGGTCAATACTAACAATAGAATCCGTTTCAGTATATATTCATAATTCAAAGCATTTTTGGAAAAGTACACAGGATTGTTTTGTAATCTTTTTAAATAATGAAATAGTTTGTACCGCTATACCTGTGTGATGTCTTTTATGGACAACCCCTTAAATATTTGACATGATATTCATAATGTGTATGTTTGTACAAAACATAATTTTACATTTATACATTAAATCTACTCTACTACCATTGTAATCCATTATATCTTGAAAGCCCATCTGCCCCCTTCAATCACCGTCATCCCATCATCTCCCCAAATCCATTATTATGTTAAAATAATAAACACTATTTGGGGTCATCCATTTATGACGTCCACAAAAATTTGGAATTTTAGGCGGAACCCCCCCCCCCCCCCCCCCCATTGTGTTTGTCCACAAAAATTTAGTAGACCTCTCAAAACATGCTGCAAAATTCATTTACATGCAATGTACATTAACTGATAATGTAATATATGGATTTGATACTTTCGGTAACATCTATTACTAGGCCAAAATAATAATTGGGAGTTATTTTTCCACGATGTTCGAAAGTCTACGGCGTGTAAACTTTTTTAATGCATATTTGCTATAGTGCTTCCTAAGTATTAGTGGGTAAAAATAATTTTAAGTATGAAAGTTGTGTATGTGTAATGCTTTCTCGCGTTATGTTTATTTTTATGTTTTTTTTTGTATTTATATTATTAGTTTTAAATACATTTCCTTTTAATGCTTTGTTATTCTTTATTATGCATTATTTAAAAATAATAATTAAGAGAAAGAATTGCTTTTTAATTTGTTTAGTGCAAATCTATTAAAAAGTGCTTAAGTGCACACATATTTGACTATTTAAAAAAGGGAAATAAGTCATGGAAGTGGTTTGAACGCTTGCCTATCTTTCATGCGTTGGATTTATTTTCATAGAATTTTGCCGATAATCCAACCGAAGCTACAATATTCTTTTTACAAAACAACCATCACGTCAAAAATGCAAGAAAATTATTTTTTTTTAATTGTAAAAAAATTGATTTTGGTCGGCTGTGGGCCCCTAAACGCCCCCCCCCCCCGCATTGCGGGGTCTGGCGGCATTGTAGTTCCGCCCCTGGATTAGTAACGCATTGATGAGATCCTCTTAAAATTTTACAGCAGCCTTATGGTTCCTGGAAAATATGCGCCAGTGGCGTTGGAAGGGGGGTCAGGACCCCTCTGTAAAAAATTGTTACTGTCATAATACCACTGTTACTTATCTCTATTTCTGAATCAGTATACATGTATAACTGTAAATGTATGTTTAGAACAGTCATCTAAAAACTGACGCTATGTTCACCCTGAGTTGGTTATTTCCCTCCCCCCACCTCACCACCACAATTGTGTAGAGCGATACTATTGTCACGCCTAGGTATACGCTGGTAGGATAATTAACTTAAAGTGGCTGGACAGTGGCGAATGAAGTTGAACCTCCCCCCCCCCCCCCCCAACCCACCCGAACTGATCTGTTAAGTACATTTGGGAAAACGCGTAATGAGGTACCAAAGTACCATGCCGCCAGAATCACAGCTTTTGAAACAGGTAAAACTCTGTAAAAAAAATTTTTGTAATAATTATTGGGGAAGACGCACACAAAAAATATACGACACCCTTATACACGAGAGTTAGTTGGGCCAGAGAACACAATATAATAGACTTTAAAGATACATTTAGAAACCTACATAAACGCATTACACCAAAAGAAAGGGAAGTAGCATACAGACTGATTTTTAATACAACTCCAGTTTCACGAAATACAAAGTCAAATCAAAATTTTAAAATAACAAGTCAAACGTGAAAATAAAATATACAAGAAACTGAGAAACACATTTATTTAGATTGTATATTAGTACAGAAAGCAAAGCAAACACTTGCGATATTATTAACAACCACCAATCAAACAGCCACAACAAATAAAGCAATCACGACTAGACAAAGAACAGAAGACGAAAACAGACTAGTAGAAACGGCTATTTATAGATCGACTATATGGCAAATAAGGAATAAATTCAGATTTTTTTTTCACAAAATACACGGACATCGAGTTAAAAGAAGTATTTCAAGCAAAGCTAAGACAGACTGGAAACTCTCACTTAACTGAAAATAAACCAGGAGTGATCTCCCCTAAACTTTCTCGAATATTCTTATATAAAACAACAGGGGATGGGAACTCGGGATATAGACATGCTTTTTAGGGGTCATCCATAAATGACGTGACGCTTTTTTTGGACGATTTTTAACCCCTCCCCTTCCCTCCGTCACACGTCGTCACAAAAAGCCAGACACCCCCCTAAAATGACGTCACACCTCACCCTCAAAATTGCTGTTGAAATTTTCTTAAAACATCGATATTTTTCCAAAATCTTGTCAGAACTATCAACATAGAGTATTTTGATCAATTCCTATTACAATTTATTAAAACCGTTTTCTAAAACGCGAAATAACGGCTAAAAATCATTTTCTAACATTGCTTTTTTATAATGCAAAAGTGTGATGTCACACCATCTGAACCCCCCCCCCTCCTCATCACACACCGTCACTAAATTACGGACCTCCCCTCCCCCCTACAAATGTGAAGTCATTATAGACGACCCCTTAGTCTATTTTAAATGCTTAAACTTTTAAAAATAGAATAAAATGTCGTAGAAAAAAGAATTTCACACCAAGTGAACGCCAAATAAAATGTGCATAATAGTGCGCAATATTATTAGTCTAATATAAAAAGTTCAATTCTGTATGTATGTTTGTAAAATGTTTGTCGTGGATTACAAAGGAATATAAGAAAAAATGATACTTCTATGGATTCAAGTGTAAGATTATTAAAGTACTCTAGGTCTAAATTTAAATAAAAGAATGTATCGACGTTTATAAAATTTCTAATCGTGTCTGAATATTATATGCATTTATTCCTTTAGCGCTCATTACAACCCTTGATTAGTAAAACACAGTTACTTTTCTTTAATAAACATTACATCGGGGGGGGGGGGGGGGGAAGAAAATTTACTTTTTATTACTTTGTTTTGGTGTTAGGAAAAAAAAATTAGCGGGGATCGATTAAGTGCAATGTTGTTGGTATTTTTAATATTGCCTTTTATTTATTCCATACACTGAACGTACTGTTTTCTTCTTCTTATTTTTAATCAAAGACAGGTGAAGTAAAAAAAATAAACCGGGAGTGATCTCCCCAAAACTTTCTCGAATATTCTTATATAAAATAACAGGAGATGGGAACTCGGCCTATAGACATGATTTTTAATCCATTTTAAATACTTAAAGTTTTAAAAATAGAATAAAATCTCGTAGACAAAAGAATTGCACACCAAGTGAACGCCAAATAAAAAAGTGCATAATTTTGCGCAATATTATTAGTACTTTAAAAATTTACATTAGTTTTTTGAGAAATCGGAAGTAGCGTAAATTACTACTTCCGGTCAACGGAAATTACTCAAAATTTAACAGAAGGTAGAGAATTAGATCTTTTACTTACATGTGAAATTTCATTTAGCTATCTGAAATAGTACTCAAGTTATAGGCTTTTGAAAAATTCAAAGTAGGAAAAGTACCATTTCCGGTTATCGGAAATCGCTCAAAAGTTGATACGGATCTACGATTTTGATAAAATACTTATATATGAAATTTCATCAACCTAGCTGTAACGGTACTCAAGTAATCGTGTTTACACACGGACACACACACACACACACACACACACACACACAGACATACGGACAAGATTGCAAAATTATGTTTTTCCGTATCAGTGAGTTGTAAAACGTCGAGTTATGTAAAAATCTCGATTTTTTTTTTGCACGATTACAATACTTTCTCTATACTTCGTATATACGAGAAAGTAAAAAGACATGTTTATTCGGAAACGGGAATTCCCGCAGGTTATTATTTGTCTTTTTTGCGCATTCGTTTTGTCTGTGCTTTTTTGCGCACGAAGGGGAATTCATTTTTGTCGGTCGCACCAGAAAGCTCTTTTATACACACCTGCACCAAACTACAAGAAGATATATATATTATATGGTGTTGGAAAAAAAACTAATTACATTATTATCGGGGATTGATCAAGTGTAATGTTGTTGGTTTTTTTAATACTGCCTTTTATTTATTCCATGCACTGGACGAACTGTTTTCTTCTGATTATTTTTAATCAAAGACTCGTGAAGTAACAAAAGACAATTTTATTTGGGAACCGTAATTCCCGCAGGTTATTATTTGTCTTTTTGCGCATTCGTTTTGTCTGTGCTTTTTTGCGCACGAAGGGGAATTCATTTTTGTCGGTCGCACCAGAAAGCTCTTTTATACACACCTGCACCAAACTACAAGAAGATATATATATTATATGGTGTTGGAAAAAAAACTAATTACATTATTATCGGGGATTGATCAAGTGTAATGTTGTTGGTATTTTTAATACTGCCTTTTATTTATTCCATGCACTGGACGAACTGTTTTCTTCTGATTATTTTTAATCAAAGACTCGTGAAGTAACAAAAGACAATTTTATTTGGGAACCGTAATTCCCGCAGGTTATTATTTGTCTTTTTTGCGCATTCGTTTTGTCTGTGCTTTTTTGCGCACGAAGGGGAATTCATTTTTGTCGGTCGCACCAGAAAGCTCTTTTATACACACCTGCACCAAACTACAAGAAGATATATATATTATATGGTGTTGGAAAAAAAACTAATTACATTATTATCGGGGATTGATCAAGTGTAATGTTGTTGGTATTTTTAATACTGCCTTTTATTTATTCCATGCACTGGACGAACTGTTTTCTTCTGATTATTTTTAATCAAAGACTCGTGAAGTAACAAAAGACAACTTTATTTGGGAACGGGAATTCCCGCAGGTTATTTTTATTTGTTGTTTGTTTTTGTCTGTCATTTTTTTGCGCTCGAAG